AAGAACAAGGAGCCTATTTTCTGTTGTTCTTATCTAATTCCTCGTGAGTATAGAGATTCTGCCCCAGAGGGTTAAAAGGACTTTTTTTTTTTTTTAGATTTTATTTATTTATTTATTTATGAGAGAGAGAGAGAGAGAGAGAGAGAGAGAGAGAGAGGCAGAGACACAGGCAGAGGAAGAAGCAGGCTCCACGCAGGGAGCTCAATGTGGGACTTGATCCCGGGTCTCCAGGATCATGCCCTGGGCCAAAGGCAGGCGCTAAACTGCTGAGCCATCCCCCAAAGGACTCCTTTCTTTCAGGATGTTTTTAAAAACATGATTCCAGGGATCCCTGGGTTGCTCAGTGGTTTGGCGCCTGCCTTCGGCCCAGGGCACGATCCTGGAGTCCCAGGATCGAGTCCCACATCGGGCTCCCAGCATGGAGCCTGCCTCTCCCTCCTCCTATGTCTCTGCCTCTCTTTCTCTCTATGTCTATCATAAATAAATAAATCTTTAAAAAAAAAAAAAAACATGATTCCATGAACTTCTGTAGGCTTAAATATTTTCATTGTTCTGTATATTTTATGGTGATCTGCATAATGTTTCATCTTTCTTTTTCTTTTTTTTTTTTTTTAAAGTAATCTCTCTACCCAACACGGGGCTCAAATTTATAACCCCTATATCGTGAGTCTCATGCCCTACTGACTGAGCCAGCCAGGCACCCCTAATCTTTTTTTCTTTATATAAACCAGTTGGGGGCAGCCCGGGTGGCTCGGGGGTTTAGCACCAACTACAGCCCAGGGCGTGATCCTGGAGACCTGGGATCAAGTCCCACGTGGGGCTCCCTGCATGGAGCCTGCTTCTTCCTCTGCCTGTGTCTCTGCCTCTCTTTCTCTCTCTCTCTCTCTCTCTCTCTCTCTCTCTCTCTCTCTCTCTCTCTCTCCTCTGTCTCTCATGAATAAATAAATAAAATCTTAAAATTAAAAAAAAACAATTGGTATGGTTATACCTCTTTTCCAATTTAAACGTGTTTGTGTGGGGGTGCCTGTCTGGCTGTTGGTAGAACATGTGACTCTTGATCTCAGGGTCATGGATTCAAGTCCCACTTTGGGCATAGAACTTACTTTTTTAAAAAAAAGTCAAAAGGAAAAAAAATTGTGTGTATATATGTATCATTCTAATAGAAAAAAAAAACCATCAATTTAAAATGATGGTACTATCATAGTCACTTGATTTAAATAAATAAAGATTCTAAAGTCTTTAAGATAAAACGGGATACCAAACTTTCTAAATAAAACACTTTGTTGATCTTTTCTACACTATTTTATGCAAAAAAAAAATTTTTTTTTGCTGTAATTTTGCATATTGAGGACTACATAAATGGTATGCTAGAAAAGTGTTCCCACATATGTCTACTTGGGAAATACATTTATAAAAAGTATGTTGTCTTGGGGGATCCCTGGGTGGCTCAGCGGTTTGGCGCCTGCCTTCGGCCCGGGGTGTGATCCTGAAGTCCCAGGATCAAGTCCCACATCGGACTCCCTGCATGGAGCCTGCTTCTCCTTCTGCCTGTGTCTCTGCCTCTCTCTCCCTCTCTGTGTCTCTCATGAATGAATGAATAAAATCTTTTTTTTAAAAAAGTATGTTGTCCTTAAAATAAAATTTGCGTAGACCTTTTTTCCTTTGTTTTACTTTTTCTTAACAATTGAGTACCATATTAACGCTCATTAAAATGGATTTGCTGGGGATCCCTGGGTGGCTCAGCGGTTTAGCACCTGCCTTTGGCCCAGGGCATGATCCTAGAGTCCTGGGATGGAGTCCCACATCTGGCTCCCTGTGTGGAGCCTGCTTCTCCCTCTGCCTGTGTCTCCAGCTCGTGTGCTCTCTCTCTCTCTCTCTCTCTCTCTCTCTCTGTGTCTCTCATGAATAAATGAATAAAATCTTTTAAACAAAAATGGATTTGCTATAAAGACACCAAGGGAAAAAAAGGGGAAAAAAGAAAAAAGACACCAAGGGCTGTAATGGAAGGCATTTTTCTGAATTTGTATTTTTAAATTTTGGGCCATATTAGTTAAAATTACATAACTAGTTTATGCTTTAATGGTATTGTTTGATATTTTTAAAATTCAAAATATATCTATTCATTAAGGCTTACCAGGTTTTATTTAGTGCTGCTAATGAATTATAATTTAATGACTTGGGGATTGATTGTGTAAATTATTAAAAATAAATGGAAGTATAATTTGTTTTAAAATAAGTTATATATAGGGTAACTGGCTTCATTATATATTAAATAGGTTTCAAATCAATAAAATCAGAAGAAACAGCAGGTGTTGGGGAAGATGCCGAGAAAGGGGAACCCTTTTGCACTATTGGTGGGAGTGCAAACTGTTGCAGCCACTCTAGAAAACAGTATGGAGGTTCCTCAAAAAGTTAAAAATAGAACTACCCTGCAATCCTGCAGTTGCACTATTAGGTATTTACCTAAATGATAAAAAAATACAGATTTGAAGGGGTATATGCACCCTGATGTTTATAGCAGCATTATCAGCAATAGACATACAATAGAGAGAGCCCAGATGTCCATTGACTGAAGATGTGGGGTGTGTGTGTGTGTGTGTGTGTGTGTGTGTGTGTGTGTGTATGAAATGGGAATTTACTCAGCCATGAAAAAAAATGAAATCTTGTCATTTGCAATGTAGAATGTTGTGCCAAGCGAAATAAGTCAGTCAGAGAAAGAAAGACAAATACCATATGATCTCACTCATGTGGAATTTAAGAAAGAAAACAGATGAACATATGGGAAGGGGAAAAAGAAAAAAAAAGAGAAAGAGAGGGAGAGAAACCATAAGAGACTCTTAATGATAGAGAAAAGCTGAGGTTTGATGGAGAGAGGTGGGTCGGGATGGGTTAGATGGGTGATGGGTATTAAGGAGGGCACTTGTGATGAGCACTGGGTGTTGTATGTAAGTAATGAATCACTAAATTCTGCTTCAGGAACCAATATTGCCCTGTATGTTCACTAAAATTTAAATAAGTTAAAAAGAAGGAAATACGTCTAATCATCATAGAAGAAAAAAATCAGTAAATCAATAAAATCAGTGCTTCACACTTAATGCAATAGATGCCAATTTAAGAAGAAAATTAAATCTTTAGGGGTGCCTGGGTGGCTCAGTTGGTTAACCATCTGCCTTCAGCTCAGGTCATGATCCCAGGGTGGTGGGATCAAGCCCCAAATGGGGCTCTCCACTCAACAATGAGTCTGCTTCTCTCTTTCACTCTCACTCTGTGCTCTTTCTCTGAGATAAAATCTTTTTTAAAAAGTAAATCTTTAATTATAAATCTGAATAAAAATAGAAAGTACTCTCTGCTGCAGTAGTTCAGTTTGTTTAAAAATATTAAATCTCGGGAGCACCAGCCTGGCTCTGTTGTAGAGTATATGACTCTTGATCTCAGAGCTTTGAGTTCAAACCCCACATTAGGTGTAGAGCTTACTAAAAAATAGCTTACTATTAAATCTGATATAGTTGACTTACTGAAAAAGGAAGACTTATCCCAAAAAGAAAAATTCTCTCTTTGGAAATAAATTGTAAAATTACAAAACTGCATTGTAGAATTTGGTTACTGATTGACTTTGAGAGCCAATATATTTTAACTTGAAAGTGTTTATCCTGTTAATATCTTTTAAAATATACCTTATTGGTTTAATTCCTTTGATTTTCTCACCAATCTCAGCAAATAAATAGGAGGGAGTTAGTGTTTGTTTAGTTCTGTTCTATTTTCTTTTCTTTTTTTTTTTTCAAAGAAAGATTTTATTTCTTTATTTGAGAGAGAGAGCATGCATGAGCAGGGGGAGAGGGAGAAGCACACTACCTGCTGAGCAGAGACCCTGATGTGGGGCTCAATCCCAGGAACCTGAGTTCATGACCTGAGCCAAAGACAGATACCCAACCAATTGAGCCACCCTGTCGTCCCTGTTCTATTTTCTTTTAGTGAGCCCGGCAGCCAACGTGGGGCTTAAACTCACCACCCTGACTGAGATCAAGAGTCTCATGCTCTACCAACTGAGCCAGCCAGGTGTCCCCAGATTGGCACTTGCAAGAAAAAATATATACATATATAATTGTAGCATCAACATACAGGAAAAAGAAAATCCTGGATATATGCTAGCCAGCCAATTGCATGTTTCAGCATGGGAGATAACATAGTGAAAATTAAAAGAGCACTGATTTCAGAGTCTGAAGGATCTGCCCTTTTACACTGTAGGAGCATTGAAAGGCTCAAGTAAAATGTTTTTGAAAACATTTCATAAAACTAGTACAAGCTGTGAAATGTAAGATGTCATTTTGTTTTGAGGGGTAATAAATACTTACTCTTTTATTGCCACATAAGCATTTTTTTCATCTTCTGGCTAGTGATCAACAGGTATCTTCTTTGGCTGTCTTGAAAAATCCTATGATTTTTAACTGTGATGTTAATCAGGGAGAAAGTCTGGCAAGTGGTGGAAGGAAAGAGAAAGACAAATGTGGTAGGTCAATATTTCCAAAAGAATGAGTTGGTTCAGGGCACCTGGGTGTCTCAGTCAGTTGAGTGTCTGACTTTTGATCTCAGGTCTTGATCTCAGGGTTGTGAATTCAGGCCCCAAGTTGGGCTCCATGCTGGGCATGAAGCCTACTTTAAAAAAAAAAAAAAGTGTTGGTTCATAATTAGTTTATGACATTTTGTTCATCCCTAGATAATCCAGAGATAATCTGAAAACTAAAGTAACTGTTTTGGCCTATTCTTGAATTGTGGTAAAAGTTTATCTTCAAGGGTGTAATTAATGTTCTATAAGAGTTTATTTGCATATTTTCTAGTACAACCTGCTATGATTTTTTTTTATTTTTTAAAAACCATTCATCAGAAGCAATGATTAAGTGAATCAAGTTGTGAGACATTTAATATTATAAACTCTGTAAAAGACCCATCTTTCATTCTTCTTTTACTTTTTATTAATGTTTTGATATCTTCTTTTTATACAGGACTTTGCTTCCCGGGCTAAACTGGCAGTTCAAAACCTAGTACAGAAGGTTGGATTTTTTGGCATTTTGGCCTGTGCATCAGTAAGTGAATTGTATTAAAAGTGAGAAATATTCCAAGAAATACTAGATTTATATTTGATCCAATTTGTTTTTATTTTTTATTCTTTTTCCTTTTTTTTTTTTTTTTTTGAAATTTTACTTATTTATTCATGAGAGACACACAGAGAGAGAAACAGAGGGAGAAGCAGGCTCCATACAGGGAGCCTGAAGTGGGACTCAATCCCAGGACTCCAGGATCACACCCTGCCTGAGCTGGAAGGCAGACGCTCAACTGCTGAGCCACCCAGGCATCCCATCCAATTTGCTTTTAAAGATAACACGCTAGAAAAAAATAAAGATAACATCTGAGTGAACAAAAATACTATCACTTTTGATGAGTATGTAATTTTATTAATCATTTGTCGTACTCATCAAATGAACTGTTACTGTTGGATAGGTTCATATCTTGTTTATTGACTTTTTAAACATTTCATCTTGCCATGATGACTTCAGACCTAAGTGGCTTGTTTCAGTAATAAAAGAGACACACAGAGAGGCAGAGACACAGACAGAGAGAGAAGCAGGCTCCATGCAGGGAGCCCAATGTGGGACTTGATCCTAGGACCCCAGGATCACACCCTGGGCCTGAAGGCAGGCGCTAAACCGCTGAGTCACCCAGGCATCCCAATAAAAGAGATTTTTTTTTTTTAAAGATTTTTTAAAAAGAATAAAAGAGGTAAAATTCTTCCTTTCCATGAAGAATTTATAAAATGAAGGGCATTTAACTAAATATCAATGACTTCATTCTTACCAGAGTTATAGTTAAGTACTCTTTTTCCAGAATTTCAAGCTTTAGTTATAAGGAAGAATTCATATGAAACCTGTTTTGGCGGATATTTACAATTATCAAGGTAATTGAAACCTCTCAGGCAAAGTTATGTGCAACTTTGGCTACAATGAACTAAGAATCCACTTACGTCAAAATTGTAGTTAATAGGGAAAGCTGGGTAGCTCAGTGGTTAAGTGTCTGCCTTTGGCTCAGGGCATGATCCCAGAGTCCCAGGATCGAGTGCCGCATCGGGCTTCCTGCATGAAGCCTGCTTCTCCCTCTGCCTGGGTCTCTGCCTCTCTCTCTTTCTTTGTGTCTCTCATGAATAAATAAATAAAATATTTAAAATGTATATATAGCTAATATCTCAAACTGCAGATTTGTGAAATTGACATTCCTTGATGAGTTGGTATTTATCCTGGTCTTTTTCTAATATAATAGAAGCAGTTATGTTTGAAATGGAACATTTTGATCAAAGTTTTCTTTGGTAACCTGTACATAATTTTTGGCAGTTCAGTGGTGGATTTGGCCAGTATAACTAGTTACACCTAGTTGATATGATAAAAACTACTGTAAATATAATTCACAAAATTATTGTCTAATGACACACAGTTCCCTTACCCATTATGTACTAGAATATGAATTCATCTTTGAGTACTCCTCCCTTAGCAAAGCAAATGGCTATAAAAGAGGACATTTGGTGCCAAAATTTCTAATGTGATGCGAACATTCTAGAGATTTACATGTTCTTGAATTATTGTCTTTTGAACCTGGCAATATTAGAAATTTTCGTAATCTGATTTTTCTTTATAATGTAGAGCTCTTGGGATCCCTGGGTGGCGCAGCGGTTTAGCGCCTGCCTTTGGCCCAGGGCGTGATCCTGGAGACCCGGGATCGAATCCCACGTCGGGCTCCCGGTGCATGGAGCCTGTTTCTCCCTCTGCCTGTGTCTCTGCCTCTATCTCTCTCTGTGTGACTATCATAAATAAATAAAAAAATTTAAAAAAATGTAGAGCTCTTTATCATAATATTGACCTCAACCATTTGAGCAATTTATAAGTATATTGTAGTGTGATATAGTAGAAAGAGAATTGCCTTTGGCATTCCTTTTTTTTTTTTTTTTAAGATTTTATTTATTTATTCATGAGAGACACAGAGAGAGAGAGGGAGGCAGAGACGCAGGCAGAGGGAGAAGCAGGCTCCACGCAGGGAGCCCGACGTGGGACTCTATCCTGGGTCTCCGGGATCACACCCTGGGCTGCAGGCAGTGCTAAACCACTGCGCCACCAGGGCTGCCCCCTTTGGCATTCCTAAACCAGTTTTGCCTCTTAGTAGCTATGTAACCTAGTCAGGTTACTCTCCAAACCCTGGTTTTCTAATTTTTAAAATGGGGCAATAAGACACTCATTGTAAAGGTTGATGTGAGGATTTAAGGAAATATATGTGAACTAACACAGTGCTTAGAACATTATTGTTCCACCATCATCTTTTATTGTTATCTGTCAGCTTTAATTCAGTTACTGAGTGTTTGGAATAAAGAGATGAAAGATACATTCCCTTTCCTCCTCAAGGATCCTGAAGTCTAGTGAGGGAGACCATTGAAATACAGGAATAAATAGAAAGTGCTGTGAAAGTCAACAGAATGGGATTAAGCTGAGAGGCCTAATGGATAATAATGTCCTTACTTTGGAGGCTAAGTGAACAAGCATGGGAGCCACATTGCCTGGGTTGAAATCCTGCTCTGCTGCTGAATGAAATCCTACTATCCTGAATAAATTGTCAAACCTGTCTCTCACTTTTCTTTTCTATAAAATGAGTGTAATGATATCTTTTGGCATTGTTTTGGGGATTAAGTAAGTTGACAATGTAGAAACATTAGAAAAGCACCGAACAAGTCAAAGCATTCAAGAAAAATTAGCTTTCGTTATTCCTAGGGAAAACATGGAATACCTTCAATTTATTAAAACAAAAAATAGTATTTATTCTTTGGCACTCATCTATCCCTGTGTCCTCACTGTGAAAATCAACTTTCTATACTAGTCAGTCTTCTTTATATTTGACTAGGAATAATCAATATAGAACATAAATTGATAGATCATTCTGGCCTTCTAGGAACTTTTTTCTGGAAAATTTTTGATACTTAAAGTGTTAAAAGCATATATACTTCAAATAAGTTTTTTAGTTATTTTGTTGTTAACATTCAAACTAAGATAAATAGGGGATCCCTGGGTGGCTCAGCAGTTGAGCGCCTGCCTTTGGCCCAGGGAGTGATCCTTGGAGACCTGGGATCGAGTCCCACATCAGGCTACCTGCATGGAGCCTGCTTCTCTCTGCCTATATTTCTGCCTCTCTCTCATGAATAAATAAATAAAATCTTTTTAAAAAAGAAAAGAAAACAAAGATAAATAAAACTCCTAGTTGAGGGATAATTTCAAAGCTACTTAGTAGTTCTTTTAATCCCAGTCTTCCTTTATTTAGTCAGCAGTTGAAAAAAAAAAAAGAATAAATAGCATGCAACAATAAATACACTGATTATGCTCTACTGAGGGTATCCATACACTGAGGTGTCCAACATGTTTAGCAAATTCTAATTTTTAATCTACTCTTTTACATATTTTGTATACTTTAAATTAATTTCTTTTTCAACATGAGGTAGAGCCTGATAATAAAGGAAAACAAAATTGCAGTCCATGGAGTTATGAGGGTCACGTGAGAAAATATAAAAAATGATCCATGTAAAGCTGTGCAGATGGTATTGTTATTACATGATTATAAGACAGATGAAATTGCATAAAACATTTGAATTTGGGGGACACCTGGGTGGCTCAGTGGATGAGCGTCTGCCTTTGGCGCAGAGTGTGATCCCAAGGTCCCAAGATCAAGTCTCTCATTGGGCTCCCTTTGGGGAACCTGATTCTCCCTCTGCCTGTGTCTCTGCCTCTCTCTCTGTGTCTCTCATGAATAAAAATAAAATCTTTAAAAAAACAACAAACAACCATTTGAATTTGGATGAGAAAAACAAAACTGAGTTATTAAATCCAAGTGTTATAACAAAAGAATACTTGAATTCTAATTTAGTCATGGCATTGTTTTTAAAAGAACATATGTCACAAATATTTTTTAAACAACTAGGCTTTGCTTTGAAAGTTCAAAAATGAAATTATATAAATTAATTAGCTTCTGAGTTCTGCCAACTGCCACAAGGACAGAGTGCTTCTATGGGAGAAAAATGGATGAAGTGCTCAAAAACAGCTTGTGGTTTCTTTGCATTTTTACATGAAATTGTCTTTCAGCATTCTTGAAATGTGGGAATGTTTGGAAAAGGTATTTGTTGTGAATCACTTCTTTGTCTGGGACTGAGTATTCAAAACATCTGAATCTATGTGCTCATATTTCCACACTTGATTTTCTTTTTAAAATATATTACACAGCCCCACAGCCTTGGTGTGTCATACAAATGATGAGATTTGTATGTGCAAAATACAAATTATGAATTTATGTTGAGGAATAAAAGCACATCTACGTGTAAATATATTTGTAATTTTTTTTAAGATTTTATTTATTTATTCATGAGAGACACAGAGAGAGAGAGAGGCAGAGACACAGACAGTGGGAGAAGCAGGCTCCATGCAGGGAGCCTGACGTGGGACTCAATCCCGGGACTCCAGGATCATGCCCTAGGCCGAAGGCAGGCACCAAACTGCTGAGCCACCCAGGGATCCCCTATATTTGTAATTTTAAAAGAATGTTTGCTGTATAGATGTGTGAGTGATTTCTAGATAATATGTGAGAATATTTCTAGATAATATTCTTTTTTATTTTTTTAAATATTTATTTATTCATTCATTCATTCATTCATGAAAGACACACAGAGAGAGATGCAGAGACATAAGCAGGGAGCCTGATATGGGACTTGATCCTGGGACTCCAGGATCACACCCTGGGCTGAAGGCAGGTGCTCAACCCCTGAGCCACCCAGGTGTCCCCTGAGCCACCCAGACGTCCTTCTTTTTTTTTTTTTTAAGATTTTATTTATTTATTCATGAGAGACACAGAGAAAGAGGCAGAGACACAGGCAGAGGGAGAAACAGGCTGCTCGCAGAGAACCCAATGTGGGACTCGATTCCTGGACTCCGGGATCACGTCCTGAGCCAAAGGCAGATGCTCAATCCCTGAGCCACCCAGGAGTCCCTAGATAATATTCTTACTTCAAGCTGAAGATTTTAGAACCCTAGTAACTACTAAAATAATCTTAACTCTTTTTCTTCCTTTATACCTCACCTTAGACACAGCTAGCAAATGGCAAAATATCTGGTGAATGATACTAAATTCCTGTGGGTCCATTTTTTTAAATCCAATTCTAATGTGATTTTTTTAAGAAAAGTATATTTGTGAGGTGTTAGCTATAAGTAGTGTAAGCAGAAGGACAGCTGGGTTTGCTTTGAACACCAACCTGAGATGAATATGAGACCCAACTTACAGAAACATTAGAATACTTGCCTAGCCTTCGAGTATTGATCAGGGAACCTATGAAAGCAAGGTTTAAAGCATAATTCCACATAGCTGTAGGTGGTAAATTAAACTGTTGGATTATATATTTTAACCTTTTTTTTTTTTTAATAGATTCCAAATCCTCTATTTGATCTGGCTGGAATAACATGTGGACACTTTCTTGTACCTTTTTGGACTTTCTTTGGTGCAACTCTGATTGGAAAAGCAATAATTAAAATGCATATCCAGGTAATTATACCTTCTGATTTACTGCCTAATGATGATGAACCCATTAAACGGCATTGAAAATTAATTCCTTTGCTCATTCTAATATGAATTGTTAATATTTGGTTCTGCTTCTTTTGGTTGGTATCTTACTTAGGTATTTAACCGTGGAAAGTCACTTGGAGGTTAGTGAATTTGGTGCAGGTATTCCCTGTCCTTATTGGAAAATTGTGCCACTTTAAGACTTTTCTCCTTGTTTTCTTTCCTTCCTTTTCCTCTCTCCCTTCTTGTCTTTCTTTATTTTACTTTTTGCCTTGCGAAACTGCTCGTCCAAGACTATTACCAAGCAAAAATAGTGTTCCTATATAGGAAAATGCACATTATTTTCATACATAGTCCAAAAATGTCATATTTTTGCTGACCATTAGCTGCGAGAAGATTGCCTTTCACTAATTCTACTTTTCTTTTATACCCCCCAATAATACTTCTCTCAAGGCACCAGTCCTTTACAGAAAACCAGCCAGATGTTAGTGTGGGAGAGAATGGGGGAAAAGGGGAACTCTGAAGAGGTGAAGAGCTGTGGTTGTAGTTAGAGAAGTTAGAATCTGTTATTTTTCAAAGCCAGTCTTAACAAAAGCTTTAGGATAGAGGGGTGTGTGTGTGTGTGTACGTATGTATGTATGTGTGTGTATATATATACATATATATACACACACATATATGAATAGAAAGAGAATAAAATGGAATGAATATGTACTTCTAGAACTATGATATGAATTACTTTTAAAAGGACAAACTCACTAGAAAAAAATAAAATTTAACTAAAAATATTTCTTAATCAGTGATGTTTGCAACACAGAGATATTCACAAAAGGAAAGGCAAGAGCAGTGAGTAATATTTGTGCCCTAATAAGATTCCTTCAAAATTAAAAGTACCTCTGTCCCAAGTTTCATCTTAATATCTCTCTGCCTTCACTTATTAGAAGAGAAGAATGAGACAGAAAAACTTAAGCTCCTTTTACCTGCCCAGCTTCTAATATTAGATTTTGGTATTTGGCGTAAGTTTATTGAGCCTAACAAAAATTAAAGAAAAAAAAAAGTTTATTGAGCCTATCCTCTACTCCTCTGCCATGATAATCACTCACAATTCCAAGGGCATTCCTCCTTCAAGGAATATATTTTCTTCCATTTACATTTAAATATATTGTTCAATGAAATGAGTTTTTTAATATTGGAATGCTAGTTACTTTGGTAAATAATACAATACCGTATTAGGATTTTTTTTCAAATAATACAGTACGATTGTGAGTAGTAAATTATTTTGCAGTATATCAGAAGATAATTTTTTCTTTGATCTTTTTAGCTCTTTTTGAAGGAAGGGGAAGCTATCATTTTGCTTTTTAAAAATCATTAATTATTCCTAAGAAACAATAACAAATTATTTTAATTCCCTTCAACTTCTCTGAGAATCCATAAGCTTTATGCACCCAGCTTTGTATAGTAACTGTCTACATAAATTATGGTAAAATGTATTATGCTAAGAGTATTCTTTAGTGATAGGGCATGCAATTTATCAGATTTTTCATTACAAAATATTAAAAATAGTATATTTTTAAACATTCTCCGTTTTTTTCAAGTTCTGATAATGCTTAATTTTTTGTATAGTACTTCACACTTTAAACCACTTAGTGTTTATGAGCTGATTTTATTGTTATAATCCTCAGAGAAATTACTACTCCCATTTTGTAATTGTCTTACAAATGCTTAGGAAGTTAATAAGTAATAGTAGCCTAAGAAAATAAGTAACAGCTGAAATTTGAACCTGTGTCTACTGGCTTCAAGTTCAGTGTTCTGTCTGTTCTTTTCAGTTGCCTTCTAAACTATAAATTATTTATGTGATTAAAGAAAATGAATTGTTTACTGTCTGCAATTTATCAGGACCTGTGCCATGCAATGTCCATTGGTCATCTCAAAACAATCCTGTGAGATGGTTATTATCCGTATTTTCATACATAGGCGAACTCATTGTTAGAGAAAACAAAAATTCTTCACGTGCCTAAAGCCCTGGAATTCGGGATGCCTGGGTGACCCAGCAGTTGAGCGTCTGCCTTCGGCTCAGGGTGTGATCCTGGGATCCAGGATCGAGTCCCGCCGTGGGTTCCCTGCGAGAAGCCTGTTTCTCCCTCTGCCTATGTCTCTGGCTCTCTCTCTGTGTCTCTCATGAATAAATAAATGAATCTAAAACAAATAAACAAACATGGAATTCAAACCAAACTCTATAAATTTAAAGCTATACCCAATATATATGTGGAAAGGAAAAAAGAAAGCCAAAATCCTTTTACATTTCTGAAAGCAGAGAATCTGAGTTCCTTCACTAAACTGAGACCATGGGATATGTTTGCTGTGTTCCATTGTACAATGGATACAGACTTTCTAAGGCATGTCACTTGATGTACATCCAGATGAGCTCCAGGCAACAAACATTTCTCATTCTTTGGGTAAGCAATAGTAACACATAATATGAGTATTTTAACTGTTTCTGAAGTAACTAGAGGGAAACCCCACACACAGATTTTTCTGTAATCTAGTAAACCCACTTTTTTTTCTGGTTCTTTTCCCCTTTTCTTCAGCCTAAAGTAGTCAAAAATATTGTCATTTTTATTAATATCTTGCTATTTGTTAAACTTCCCCTAAAAACTTCAAAGTAGCTGGGGCACCTGGGTAGCTCAGTGGTTAAGTGTGCCTTCCTCTCAGGTCATGATCACGGGGTTCTGGGTTCAAGTCCCACATCAGGCTTCTCACGGGGAATCTTCTTCTCCCTCTGCCTATGTCTCTGCCTCTCTGTGTGTCTCTCATGAGTAAATAAATAAAATCTTTAAAAATTTTCAAATTAGACCACCTTGTAATATTAGATTGGGATTTCCAAAGTCGTTATATTTATACTCATACTTAATATTTCACATACCCTATAACTTTCTCACTGTGTGTATTATTTATTGCCTCTTTATCTTTCCACCACAGACACATAGAAATATAAGCTCCGTGAAGGTAGAGAATTTTGTCTTTGGCTCACTGAGGTATTCTAGTGCCTAGAATATGTTATGTGACTTGTAGTAGACAGTAAATTTTTTTAAAGATTTTTTTTAACATTTTATTTATTTATTCATGAGAGACAGAGAGAGAGAGAGAGAGAGGCAGAGACACAGGCAGAGGGAGAAGCAGGCTCCACGCAGGAAGGCCAACACGGGACCCGATCCCGGGACCCCAGGATCACACCCTGGGCTGAAGGCAGGCACTAAACTGCTAAGCCACCCGGGCTTCCCAAAGATTTTATTTTTAAGTGATTTGTACACCCAATGTGGGGCTCAAACTCACAACCCTGAGGTCAAAAGTCCCATGCACTACCGAGCAAGCCAACCAGGCACCCACTCAGTAAATTTGAGTTTTTTTGAGATTTCATTAATTTGGGGTACCTGAGTGGCTCAGTGGTTGAACATCTGCTTTTGGCTCAGGTCGTGATCCTGGGGTCTTGGGATTAAGTCCCACATCAGGCTTCCTGCAGGAAGCCTACTTCTCCCTTTGCCTATGTCTCTGCCTCTCTCTGTTGTCTCTTATGAATAAATAAATAAAAATCTTAAAAGAATTAGTTTGAGGGAAAGAAAGAGAGTATGCACAAGCGTGAGCAGGGAAAGGTGTAGGGGAGAGAGACTCTCAAGCAGACTTTGTGCTAAGTGCAGGGCCCTATGCAGGGCTCAATCCCACAGTGCTTATTAGATCGTGACCCAAGCTGAAACCAAGAGTGAGATGCTCAACTGACTGAGCCACCCCGGCACCCCCCCCCACTAATAAATAAATTTTTAATAAATGAATATAAGATTTTTCATTCTATTGAAGGACCTTCTTTTATAAATAGTTTCTTTGTTCATTCTGGCACTGTTAGTTTCCTACGCCCATATCTTTTTTTTTTTTTTTTTTCCTACTCAACCCTTTCCTCTACACACATGGTTGAGTGGGCTATTTGGTGGTCTGTGGTTTTTGTTTACTTGGTAGAATCTCCACTCTGACCTCTAGCCCAAATGACTCTGAGATGAGACATATGTTCTTAAATATCTGACACATTTATGTCTTACCCAGCACAGTGAATCTTCAAGCTGTTACATATAAAAAGAAAGTCAAAGTCTTGTTTTGTTTTCAAGCAATGGAATTATGCAATTATCTGGGCATTGGCTTATTTTCAATGTTAGGAAATTATGGTAGGGAAAACTCATGGTGGTGAAATCACTGAGAGACAAAACTATTAATTCTAATTCTTAGTGAAAGATTTGAAAGATTTATAGCTCCAATGGCTGGCTTTTATAGAAACTAGAAGGATCCCTATATATTAATGCTTTTCTCCCTAAATAATCTGTAATAATTGTCTTGTTAGTTTCATAATCTTCATAACCATGTGTATAACTGTTTATGAAATCATTATCCATCTTGTAACTATTTTTAACATCTATATGTGCTTTCTTTCATAAGATAGGTAGTATCTTTTTAAAATTGTTACATAAACAGGGACAACTGGGTGGCTCCGTTGGTTGAGCATCTGCCTTTGACTCAAGTCATGATCCCAGCATCCTGGTATTGAGCCCACATTGGCCTCCCCGCTCCGTGGGGAGTCTGCTTCTGCTTCTCCCTCTACCCTTCCCCCTGCTTATGCTCTCTCTGTCAAATAAATAAAATAATACATACATACATACATACTTTAAAAAAATAATTGGGGCAGCCGCGGTGGCACAGCAGTTTAGCGCCGCCTGCAGCCCAGGTCATGATCCTGGAGACCCGGGATCGAGTCCCACATCGGCCTCCCTGCATGGAGCCTGCTTCTCCCTCTGCCTGTGTCTCTGCCTCTCTCTCTCTGTGTCTCTCATGAATAAATAAATAATAATAATAATAATAATAAATAATTGAGTTGAGGATATTTGCTACCTGTTAGCACTAAATGCATCTTTACTTATAACTAAACTATCAGCATCTTTACTTAATGGAGAGTACTGGGGCACATGGGTCGCTCATTTGGTTAAGCTTTTGCCTTCAGCTCAGGTCATGGTCTCAGAGTCCAGGGATCGAGCCCCACATCTGGCTCCTTACTCAGCGGGGAATCTATTTCTCCCTCTCCTTCAGCCCCTACCCGCTGCTTGTGCACACACACTCTCTCTTCTCTCAAATAAATAAATCTTTAAAAAAAAAAAAAAAAGGAGAGTACTTCAGTAGCACCAAATTGAAAATGACCCAATTCTGATAATGATTCTCAGTAACCCATTGATGCTTTTGCTTGTACATAAGCCTAAAAGTCCAAGATCATGCAGGGTCTGAGAATGAAACTTTTGTAATAACTTCTATAAACTTTCAACGAAGGATATACAGGCTTTTCAGGATCCTCTGGATTAGATTTAGCCCAGACCCATGTCCTCAGTTTGACCAGCTTTAATTTTGGTAATGGCTGTGTGGGAACCCATGACTTCAGTTTGTATACTCCACTCTAAGATCCATAGTACATGTGGAATGTCCACCCAGCCTTGGGTTTCATGACTCACATTTTTCCTTCAGACATAGTCATGTATCCTGTAAGACTTGATTCGTGCTTAAGGAAAAACATCTTTAAAATACAAAGTAGGTAGCATTTGCGAGGCAAGTGGTGTTTTTGTATTTTTTTTTTTAAGAATTTTAAAAATTGTATTTGGAGCAGCACCTCGCCTTTTTAGACTCTTAACAGATTATTAATTTATATTGAGGTTTTCTGATAACAGATACTTATTTTAACTGGTATTTTCTCTACAGAAAATCTTCGTTATAATAACATTCAGCAAACACATAGTGGAGCAGATGGTGGCTTTCATTGGGTGAGTAATTATTTGTGGATTAATATTAATGTCATCACTGTTCAAATAGAAGAAAATGTATAAAAAATTTTATTGGGACAGAATTTTTCTGATACCTTTTTATTTTTTGAGGAGAAATCTTTTGCCCTGTTATTAGTTAAATTGAAGACTTTCTTACCCTACAGCAGGGAAAGATGAAATTTAAATAATCCTTATTTTAGATTTTTAATTAAATGTTAATTTTAAAGTCATAGAATTCTTGATTTAAAAAAAGCTTTGAAGTTTGAGACTGTTGCTCCTCCAAAAAAATAAGAAATCCTCTTTATATAAAAGACATGTGTGTATTATTACAGTTTAATTGTGCTTTAGTACAATGCTATGATTTTTAGCCAAGATTGCATGTCAGATACACAGTTGCATTTAATTTAAATATAAATCTTACATAAAAATCAATATTTCGTTAAATAAGGCATGATAAGATGGTATAATATTACAAAATATGTCAGTTATGAACCTATTACTTCACTAGAGAAAAAATCAGCCATTTTAAAAGCCTAGACTATCCAAAGCTTTTATTTTTGTGTTTATAGTTGTGAGTAAAGTCAGTTATAATTTATGCTTTAAATGGTAATGTCACATACTTGTGGAGTACTTTGATAAAACAGTAGACTCTTTGGTTAGTCAAATTAATTATCAACTAGAATGGGAATACTGTCAGATAATGAAACTTTTTTATGTATTTTTTTTTATTCAATGTTTATAGGTGAGAGGTTTTTTTTTCCTTTAATAGTTTAACTGGTCAAGGGCACCTGGCTGGCTCAGTCCATAGAGCTGGCAACTCTTGATCTCTGGGTTGTGAGTTTGAGCCCCACATCGGGTGTAGGGATTAGTTAAAAATAAAATCTTAAAAAAGATTAACTACCCAATGGTAGAAAGTACTCTTTATGTAATTTTACCATAAATCTTTATCTCAAAAGCCATTTATAAAACAAAACTTCTGGGGATGCCTGGGTGGCTCAGTGGTTAAGCATCTGCCTTTGGCCCAGGACATGATCCTGGAGTCCTGGGATCGAGTCCCACATCAGGCTCCCTGCATGGAGCCTGCTTCTCTCTCTGCCTATGTCTCTGCCTCTCTCTGTGTGTGTCTCTCATGAATAAAAATCATCTTTTTAAAAAATGAAAAAAAATTTAAAAATTAAAACACTTATGAAAATTTTTGCTATTTTAAAAAAATTGCCATTTGGAAGTGAGTTCATGAGTATTAGTTTTATTCTTTAAACCGTGTATTTTATATATATATATATATATATATATATATACGTATATGTATATATTCTCTTCTATATATGATATATTTTACAATAAAATAGTATTTAATATTTTCTATTATGGTTTTAATATAATAATTGAAGAAAAACATATTTTTGAGAATATACTCAGTGGGGCCAGTTACTGGTTTTATTACTTCCTTATCTTCTGATTATAAATGTGGATTATAGCTTGTCCATTAAAATGTAATTACTCTAGTTTTTTGTTCTCTGGATCCTTACAAATAACTGGTTTATAAGTTACCATACATCACATTCAGAAACCAAGCAGAAATATTCTTTTTCCTTATTTTTAAATACAAAGAAGACATTTCATCTGTTTTTAGAGCTATTATTCCACCTCTAGAATTCCAAAGGGCCTAGAGCTGAGTACTATACAAACCCAGAAGTTACCTGGGTGACTGTGGATGTAGCACTATACCTTCTTCCCTTCTCCTGTCCCAAAGCTGAGCATTTGTAAAAGGAAGTTTTTCCAGGCACGTAGCAGCTCTATCCATTGGGGCATCCCACTCTTGATTTGGCTCAGGTCATGATCTCGAGTGTCATGGGATCAAGCCTCCCAGTGGATTTCATGCTCAGCAGGGAGTCTGCTTAAAGATTCTCTACCTCTGCCCCTTCCCCCCACTTGCTTACATGTGCATGCACACTCTATATATACAATAAACAATAAATTAATCTTTAAAAGGGGGGCAGTTTTTCAGCATTTTATACATACTCACTACCACTATCTTCTGTGTCCCCAGCCTTTAGAGTTTCTAAAAAGCTAGATTAGGTAACTACCTATCTTATCTACACACATCAAGTTACATTCCCTTCCAGTCTGTTCTCCATACTGCAGTTAGTAACATTTTAAAAATATTAATCTGAAAAAATAAATAAACAAATAGATAAAAAAATAAAAATATTAATCAGAGTATGTCACTGCCACTGTCCTTACCTCCTGTTCCTCATCTTCTTAAAACCCTTTACTTCGTTTTTTTTTTCTTTTTTACTTTCTTAAGATAAAGCTAAAATATTGTCTAGAGAGCCTTGTATGATATACTGCACATAATTTTCTTTTCTTGAGTCTTCCATCAGTGGTCTTTACTTGCTTGTGGTTTTTCCTTGCCTAGTTCAGGGTTTCTTAACCTTTGCACTATTGACATTTTAGGCCAGCTAGTTCTTTGTTGTGGGAGAGTATTCTATGCATTGTAAGATGCTTAATTGCATCCTGTCCTCTTACTCACTAGATGGTAGTAGTATCTCCTAGCCATGACAATCAAGAATGTCTGCAGACATTACCAAATATCCTAATGCACTTATGCCTCCACTACCTCCACCAACCCCACTGAGAATCATTGGCCCAGATAATGCCATCCATTCATTCATTCATTCACTCATTCATTCATTTATTCATTTTAAGTGGGTTCCATGCCCAGCACAGAGCCCAACACAGGGTTTGCACTCACGGCCCTGCGATCAAGACCTGAACTGAGGGGATCCCTGGGTGGCTCTGCGGTTTAGCGCCTGCCTTTGGCCCAGAGCGTGATCATGGAGTCCCAGGATCAATTCCCGCGTCGGGCTCCCTGCGTGGGGCCTGCTTCTCCCTCTGCCTGTGTCTCTGCCCACCCTCCTCTCTCTCTCTCTCTCTCTATCATGAATAAGTAAGTAAAATCTTAAAAAAAAAAAAAAAAAAAAAGACCTGAGTTGAGATCAAGAGTCAGATGCTTAACCAACTGAACCATCCAGGCACCCCTATATAACATCCTTTAGATTTCAACTATTATATTAACCTAACTTCCCTAACTGAAATCAGATATCCTCTTTTCTAGGGACATCTGTTCATAACAGTATGTACTACATGCATTGAGAGTTGTGTTTTTACATTTATGTTTGAGGGTATGTGATTATTATATTGCATCTATAGCACCTAGCATGATAAATATATAATGGATATAATGAACACAGGGTGCCCATGTAAAGATCTGGCTGATAAGAATTAGCATATCATTTCATAGCCCAGAATCTTCTGTTTTCCCAGCCTTTGGAGTTTCTCAAGTTATATAACTTATCTACAGTAAACAGAAATAATAGGATCTTTATAATCTTAGGCCAACAAATTAAAGTTAGAATTTCTTTTTTTTTTTTAAGATTTTATTTATTTATTCATGAGAGAACAGAAAGAGAGGCAGAGACACAGGCAGAGGGAGCAGCAGACTCCATCCACAGGGAGCCCCATGCGGGACCCAATCCTGGGACTCCAGGATCACACCCTGGGATGAAGGCAGGTGCCACCGCTGAGCCACCCAGGGATCCCCTAAAGTTAGAATTTCTTATGGTTTTCAAAAGTAGTTATTTCTTACCTTTAATATCTCACCTAGCACAGCCTTCAAAAAAAAATCTAGTAGTGGGCAGCCCAGGTGGCTCAGTGGTTTAGCACCACCTTCACCCCAGGGTGTGATCCTGGAGACCTGGGATCAAGTCCCATGTCAGGCTCCCTGCATGGAGCCTGCTTCTTCCTCTGCCTGTGTCTCCCTCTGCCTTTGTCTCTCCCTCTCTCTCTCTCTCTGTGTCTCTCATGAATAAATAGATAAAATCTTTAAAAAAAAATCTAGTGGTTCTTTTTTTTTTTTTTTTAAGATTTCATTTTTAAGTAATCTCTATACCCAACATGGAGCTTGAACTCACAACCTCAGGATCAAAAGTTGTATGTTCCTCCAAATAAACCAGCCAGTGGCCCAGTGATTCTTTCTCTCTCTTTCTTTCTTTCTTTTTCTTTCTTTCTTTCTTTCTTTCTTTCTTCCTTTCTTTCTTTCTTTTTTTTATTATTTATTTATTTGAGAGAGAGCATGAGCAAGGGGAGGGCCAGAGGGAGAAGCAGGCTCCCACTGAGCAGGGATCCCGATGCAAGGTTCCCAGGACCCAGGGATCATGACCTCAACCTAAAGCAGATGTTCAACCAACTGACAGCTGAGCCACCCAGGTACCCCTGATTCTTGCTTCTTAAAGATGGTTTTGCATAAAGTTATCCTAAGATATTCAAGACCTGCTAGAATCCAATCTTTATTGAATTAAAGGGGTGGTATTATATATATTTTTTAAGATTTTATTTATTCATGAGAGATACAGAGAGACAGAGACACAGGCAGAGGGAGAAGCAGGCTCCACGCAGGGAGCCCAATATAGGACTCAATCCTGGGAATCTGGGATTATGCCCCGAGCCAAAGGCAGACACTCAACCGCTGAGCCACCCAGGCGTCCAGTGGTATCATATTTTTAAAATTGTTTTCAGGAGATAGATACTGGAATGTCTTGATATCCTCATCTTTTCCCCAGTGTTATCCACAGGGATTATCTCATCAACTTCTTTTCTAGATAATGTATTAAACAGTATAATCAGACTTAGCAGATGATAATAATTCTTTATTACCAGATACCAATCGGTATATTTTTCATATCTGTCAGGAAAAAATGATCTTTTAATCAGATACTCCAGTTGTGCTTGACATGATTTGTTTTCCCATATTTTGAAGTAGGAAATGCTTTTAAATACAAGTGTTCAAATGGAAGTACCTAAGTGACTTGGTTGGTTAAGCATCTGCCTTCGGCTCAGGTCATGATTCCAGGGTCCTGGGATTGAGTCCTGCATCAGGCTCCCTGCTTGGTGGGGAGTCTGCTTCTCCCTCTACCCCCATCCCCTGCTAGTGACTTCTC